GCTCATGAAAAAAATCCCGTCAGAGTTGATTACCCAATTTTTGTAAACATTCTATCCCGCTTAATTTCACACACACATGAACTAGCTTTTTTCAATTTAAGTACATTTTAAGGACTAACACACTTCCGTTCAAAAATATAAACGATAAATACATGTAATGATATTACTATTAACATCATAATAATATGTGTTATTAAAACTGTATCCTCGATTAATAATTAAAATGCAACGGATCGCCTAACCGACCGAAAAGATGTATGATTTTAGAAAAACCGAATGACACAATTGGTAGTTGTAAGGCCATTTTTTTCATCGCATTATTTATACAATAATTAGCTATTGACAAGGATAGGATAAGTGTCCGTGAATTTGTAGCACTTTTTTCATCGCACTGCACTATTCCATCCATTTAGTAAAAGAATACTACATATAAGATTATAATGACTGCTGATTATCCTATTTCATGCTCAAAATTGCTTTTATTTTACTGTCTGGGAAGTTGGAATGCGTTACATTAACTTATTCGCAGAAGACATATGGAGATAACGTAATATGAATAACAAGAAGTCTCCAGTGGAAATTGCACATATACACAGCAATGACAAACCAAATGAATAGAAAAACGCTCGAAAATGTAAGATATCTCACTTTTATTAAACGTTAAAAAGGGATAGTTACCCTCATATATATACATTGGTGTGATTTATTAAAAATAATTTGTTTACTTTTTCAATGGCATTTGTTATAGAATTTCATCAATGTCGAAAACAAGTACACATGGAATCGCTGTTTTTTTCTTCGTAAGCGACTTCACTGAGATATAGATGCATAACTAATTACACTAATAGATTGGTCCGGCAACCGGTTTGTAACCATTTGGCCAAACATCAATGGTCTGCATTTTAAGTTTAGATGCTAGGTGTTTGACAGTAGCCGGTAGGATACCCAACCTTATCTAGGTTTCGTGTTAGTCAGCACACTTACACTCTTAATAGAACTAATCATTTCTATGGTATTCGAACACGTATCACTTAATTTCATAGTCGTTTATGCTAATGCTGCACTATATATTCTGTTTTCATTTTAATGAATAAATAAGCACATTATTGATCTAGAAAGAAATGTTGAAATAAAACTTTTTTCAAGACAAAACAAAACGAAATGTGTGTATATCGTTCGCTCATTATTTCTGAATAAATTAACCATGCATCAAAATATTCCTTTAAAGCAAATAGCATTGAAAGAGCATCATTTTAATCAATGTTTTCTAAATATTATGTGATATCGAAGTTAAGTGTTTGTGAATAATAAAAGATTGTGAATCTGTAGATTTAGCTACTACCGATACAATTTGAGATACTACTGTGTAATTCAAAAAAAAAGGAGAACACACTAATTAGTTTTACCTGGGATTAAATGATTTTCAAGTTGATGAGAATTAATTTTAAATCAAAACATTCTTTCATACACTGAACTGTAATATATTTAATAGATTCATTCTATAGAGACTTATTGACACATAAATTAGTCAGTCATTCAGTCCGTTAGTCATAACCAACACAGAACTTAGCACATATGCATATCGGTCAAAATTATTGTACAACATCAGTACAGCCAAATGAGGATATCCTGACTAGTTTCAGAACGTTAGATGTATTGATAGTACCATTGATTGTATAAAAGATCAGATATAGACAAAATGATTGGAGAGGAACGAATGAACTCATGGAATAAGATAGTTCTAAAATTCAGAATGCAAGAGAAAGCAAAGAGTTAGTACTTTCACAACATTGTGCTTGATTCTGAATCTTATCATTCAAGATCTCCAACCATTAGCCACAATAATTGCGTGGAGCTCAACATACCCATACTGAACATTTCGACAGTCAGTAGCTCCATGAATTGAAGCATGTCGTTGTTTGATCAACCATAGCTTTTTTCCAACCCACTAATGCACCAGTCTCCAAAACCTGCCGAGGTAGGAGGGGGTTGAGCTTATGTGAGCTTACGTGTCCCAACCATCTCAGTCAATGAGAATTCACTAACTGATCAATCAACACATCATACCTGGTACACTACCGCTAACGTCAACATGTAACATATAATGTAAGTCGAAAATGGTAAAAGTATTCAATTTAATTATCCCAAAAAACTTGAGAAGCTATGAAATTTTTCTAATTACATATCACTGCATTTATCTTTAGAAGACTGGTCCAGCATTCAATAGTTTAAATATATACACACAATACTGAACAACCGTTTTTAAGCACCGTTAATTTGTAACGGGTTTACATTCGATATGACTGAATCTCACACGGGTAACGTCTTCTCTCACTACTTCTAGAACTCTGGAATTTACCTCTCGAAGTTAGTCATCAGTGAACACATTACTATTATTATTATTATTGAAAGAATGTTTGTGAAGATTTCTGAACATTATGGTTTACATCACAAAGTGATCTTAGTTAGACAACCAATCAGGAGTAAGACTAATCAGTAGTGCGTATCCACGCATCGCACACAATCTTCAGATGATCTGTATAGATCAACTGAACTTCAAAATATACAAAACATACATACATATTTTCCGTGACTTCCGATTGGTATTCTTGGTGAGGTTGTATCTTCTCAGTTGAATGTTTCAGTCATGAAGCTTTTACTGTCTTTTCGGACAACATCATCAGTGTAAACTTCAAATGTAAGTAAGCTGTTAAGTGTTTTTTAATGATATTATCCAGTAAGACAAGGAAGGATTCACAATAACCAACCGGATGAAAGAATGCGATTCCATTAAAACCATCTTACCTGAGCTAGAAATCGTCTCCACTATCTATCTCAAAAGACTTTCCGAATATAGTAAAAAATAACCATTCATTGAACTGGTTACATCCATCCTTTCATGTACTTTTATTCAAGATTTCTCAAATAATTCTCACCGTTATTATCAATCTACCATTTAATTTCAAACTGAGAACATTACGCACACAACACAACTCTGGGATGCAGATACATCCAGATGATAAGTCCAAAATAGAACGAAATCCACATCCCGCATTCCACTGCTAACCACCATCCATCTCTGCTTGTAATTATTGGCACAGTTTATTATTATTATTATTATTATTATTATTATTATTATTATTATTACTATTATTATTATTATTATCTCCTTTATTTAATATTATATTTTTGGTACAATATAGAATTCTCAGGGCAAAGTATTTCAACAAGTTTCCGTTTCTTTCTTCTTGGTCGGTCCTGGCGATAAATATCGAGTGATCGCCAGTTAGATGTTAGCACTTCAGTGAATGAACATCTGAATAATGTGCATTCTTTTTCTTGTATATTGCCAGCAACCACATTGTCTCTTATTGAGTTTTTTGTAACTTTGACAACGAAAGGTTGTACATTTTTCAGAAACGCAGCAGGATAGGTCATGCGATTAATAAACATAATGATATATTAAAACAAACAAAAATCTATAACTTGTTGAAATATCTAGATGGCAGGAACAGGTAGCCCAGACGCTCAAGCAGGCCGCAATGATTCATTCATTTTGTTATGTATATCTTTACAAGAACAATGCTTTTCCTCTATGCTGTTAGACACATAGACAAACTCCTAACAGATTTTGTGTAACTGCTTATTTGACAATTTATCATCATTATTATTACCCTATTCATTCATTTTATTCATTTACGTGTATACTTTACGTTCTGATTAACCACTACAGTCAAAATGTCTAAACATTTCTATTTGCAAATGTAAGCACTGGTGAGAAATAATAGGAAACATGCAACTTTCTCACATTTTACATGTATGTAAATAAATTTGAATGTATTGAAATAAAGTGAGTATATTTAGTGGAATTGAATGATTTCATCCTGTTTTGTAACCACCAATCAGCTGACTATATCTGGATACTGGTTTTAATGTCTTTACTGAGATTTAAACTTTATATTATTCACTTCAAATGCGTTAAACACTAAGCTACTGTGTTCAGCTGGGCAGTGACTTATTTAACGATTATTAGAGTATTAGTAAGGGTTTGTAATTTTCTGTTGTTAATACTCAATACTGTGATAGGTGAGACCCTGTTATTATTTGTACATCTTGAGAGAATTAATTTGACTTAATGTGACAGCATATTTCTTTTACTATTTTTGACAATTTGGCTTGAAGTGTATTCCAGAATGAAATTTGTAATGTCTATAAAGACCATCCTTCATGTAATAACGATGAATTTAACTATTCAGTGATTTGATCATTGGTACCAAACTTGTAGAAAATCTTTTTTAGCAGAAGGCATCAGGCAAATATTATGAAATCTGATAAGCTGAATAATAAAAACCATGTTCTAGTCGTTTGAAATTTACTGAAGCTACACTGCATCAACCTTAATTTATGTATTCCAGAAAAACCAGTTGGTTTCATTGTGACAGCATTTTTCTTGACAATTGTTTAGTTTAAAATTTTATGAATCTTCTTTCCCCTGATAGTATTACACCTAAATGATTAAATAAGATTTGAACATACTCGTGAAAGCATTATCAAATATCTTTTTACCCTCACTTTAGAATTGCGTAACAAGAATTAACTATCCTTAACAAAGAAAATCTTCCCGTTACCTAAATATTTGTTTTAATGAATAGATTATCACCATTGAAACTGAAGCGCTAATTAACTTATCAACACGTAGTTATATGTAATAACAAGAACGTTAATCAACTACTCATGAAGAACTTGAAATCCGGCACATATGTGCATCAGTTCCAGTTGCTACACCGCATCAGCATGTCGAGACAAATGTCATAGTTGTAGTAGTGGTAATAATAGTACCAATTTTTGTAGAACTTATCAATGATAGATAGTATAGTTAGACAATAATCAATTCGTCAAATAAAAAAAACATGAAACATTCATAAAAGATCAAAGCTTTTTAGGATTTTTATAAAAAAATAATTGACCAAACCATGTTTTTAAAACGATGTAAAACTTACTTCTTGGCATGGTGACGACTAAATTCTCAGCGTTAGATTGTATTACTTTTAATTCTGCCATAATTTCGCTGAACTCTGTATTGATTATGCCTTGATTTGTTAACTGTATTTTCTGATTATTATTATCATTATCATTATTTGATGATGACGATGTTGATAAACGAAACAGATTAAGATATTCACATCGTATAATATGACCATTCATAGGACATGATGATGTATCACTACTTCTGGATCGACGATCACTATCATCGGCATCAAGTAAAACATTTGGTGCTGAGTTACATGATTGTGCGATACAACTAATTTGTAACATATTTTTATCAACCATTATTGTTTTATCGTCTTCTTTCGATGGAAGTATTTGAATTTTAGGATAATGGACTGTGTAAAAAAATACAAATATACAGCAAATATATAAAATATACAGATAAATAACGAACAGTAAGTTTAAAGGTGTAACTTGTGATCGTGTTCCAACAAAAACATTGAACCTGTAAACACTGGGGGTCAATCCTCATGGGATTAAATGAGAGATTATAAAACATTACATTTGTTTAATAATAATTACCAGTGTTCATAACATGTTAGTAATGTGACTTGGAACAAAATAAAAGATAAAGACATTTGTCAACCATTCCTATAAACTTGAAGGAATTAATGCTCTCAGTAGGATTTAAACGATCATCACCCAGATTCACAGTTTGAGATATTAACAGTAATCTGTCCTAGAAATCGACAGAATTCTATCATCACCCATTACAACATTAAATATATACATAATATTGGACTTCTCAACGGTAATTATTTACTACAGCACCAGGTATGAAGAGAAAACACACTAACGAGTCATGACACCTTAACCATTTGATCGCTAGGTTATTATCTTATGACAATCAACCAAATAGTATATTTTAAAGATAATATTCAATTTTTCTGAAATCTAATCTTAATTACTTTAGAGCATTTATTGTTATAACACATTAAAAGTTTCTAACATAATGACAGATATGAAAGAAAAACTATATAACATCAACAATTGAAGCAACAAACTCGTTCAGTAGTTCAATGTTAAACAAAAAAAGTCATTTATAAAAATGGTAGAAAACAAAATGACAATTAAATATCTTTTCTTTTTTAATTATGAAAGTGTGAAATAATATTAGAAACAAACAAACACTTGAATGAAGAAATAGAAAGTGAACTTAAACAAAACAAAAACCACGTTTACACTCTTAAAAAATATTGGTAAAAAGATATATTTCTATTCATTTGAGTATAACGATTCAGTTATATTTATTGAACGCTTAATTGTATCATCAATTCAAAGTATTTATACAGCACATATAGTTTATAGCGAGTTTAGGATACTGAAGAACCTGGATAGAGGTGTAGCTGTTTCAAACGAGTAATGAATTTTATTTGTAGTTAATGTCAGCTACCCTTTACACGTTGAACCAATGAGGACTTAGTAAACAGTAAATCTTTATCTTTATTTTCAGTGTGTTCATAATAGTGGAAAATTCTCATTCAATGTGTTATTAATATCTGTATGATTTGAGAGGTTGATCGACTTTTATCAAGCTTCTTCTGACCATATAATTTTGCCTTCATATTAGGCAAGCAGATGTCAAGTGATAGTACCAGCCTGTTGTTTAACACTCACATTTGTATCAAATACAAAACATATACTTTGTAGGATTAAATTAGTTAGTTAAAAATACAGTTTACACTTGTATACTACAAGCAAGAATGTTTCACGGTTATTCTACATATTACATACATTATAACATGATCCGTCCAGTAGATATGCTAAATCGGCTACGAAGGTTTTTGCAGATTTTTCAGAACACAGGCAATTCATGAAATGTTGAAAGTTGTTTGTAGAGATTATACTACAAGGATGATATGCAAGAGACCAGAAGAACTATCGACTCTGTCTTAATGTATTCACTGAACGTATCGGATCACATGTGCTTTCCAATCATTAGTTCGTTGTCCAGGTGACATCTGATGAACTGAAGTCACGCAAAGCCAACTGCGAACACGATCACAGGGAAATGAAAAAGACGAGAGACTAACTCTTGAGGACTTCCAGTGACATTTTGAGCAGTGAAAACAAACATGAGATGAGCTTATTAACAAGAAATAGATATGTGCCTTAACTTTTATAAAATGGTACTTTTATGACTTCAGTCCACATATTTATTGCACAGAACAGTATACTTCTCCTTACTTGAACAGCAAACATATAAATTTGAAGTCCAATTATACTGTTGACATAAAAACAAAATTTATCATACTTCTAACTAATTACCAACTCAGAATGAATATTACGTCCCAAATATCGGTTATAGCCAAACCGTGAAAATTTCGAAATGACCAGTGGAATTCAATAATCTCGAGTATGAGACAGATACCCACCCTAAGTAATGAAAGATCATTGTGCAGTGTCAAGGAGTACATTTAATTTAGAAATATACATCATTCGATACAAGTTCAATGGTCGAGAAGTTAAGCGCTCATTTAGAGATTGAAGTCCGTTGGTCATAGGTGTGCACTTCTGAAGAGTACCATACTTGGAAGAAACAGCTATCTAATCATTCATAGTTCTCAACAGTTGTTTAATTAGTATTATTAATTGATGTAAACTACGAATAATTGTCATATATGTTTAACTAGGTGAATTTTTTTAAATCAACAATCAAATATTATGTTTATTCACAGTTAATTATTTTATTACTAACAATGTGTCTACATACCATACTACGCAAAATCCACATAATTTACATTAATAGATTCATAAATAAATGTTCACCTTGAGAAACTTAAAAATCACATAAACAATACCAAATATAATTGTTGTCTAAAACATAAATATTCTCGTAAAATATCTACATTATAAAGACACTTTAGATAAATATAAGTAGTATATGATTAATATATGTGATTTATCACTACAGTAAATTGTTCATTTCGTTATACAATTATGAATATTATCTGTACTTACACATACACACACACCGAGAGAGAGAGACGTATTTAGTAGCAGAGTGAATAATTATTTTTTTTAAAAACTATTCTTACTTATCAACATGTTAATTAATTAAACAGGATAACACAATTATATGTTTGTTCTGTTTACTGTATTCCGAAATAACACTAATGTATATCCGTCTACATAGTTCACAGTTATCAATAAAATGTAAACAGTGATTTACTGATTCATTGTATCATCGAAATAATGAACGTATCATCATTACACTTTTTATACAATTTAAAACATATAATACAGAACTGGAAGTGAACTTCCATGTGATGTTATATACCCATATAATATGATATGAAAATATTTATTGAATCTCCATATTGAGAAGTTTAATTTGGGTTGCATTTTCAACTGTGGAAAATTAAGTAGCTAAACGATTAAGACGTATATGAAATATAAAACAACTCTTTGTATGAAACTTTCTTCAAGTAGACTATAATTATGCAAATGCTAGTAACTAGTTTTAAAATAATTCTACAAAATTCCAACTAGAAGTTACTGCTGTAAGAGTAGTGAGAAAGTCATTATCACAAGGGTATAAGGCACGTTGTATAGTGAACTGATTGAATTCTAAAATTTAAATCTTTGAAATTCAATTCAGATTGCTCTGGAATCATCAGATGTGAAGGTCCTATGATTCAGACTCAGTTAGAGTCATGGGTGGCGGAGTTTACTGTTAAAGGGTCTTATAGTAGAACGAAACGGCTGTTCAGTGCGACTTGAGATTTGTAACTTCATTCCAACATACCATGAGTAGATGACTAAGAACACCCTACACAGTACTCAAATATTTATCCAGTCTGAAACTCTCCTGTACTATTTTAGCTTTCTGTTCGAATATTATTAATAATATCATAACCAATAGTTAATAACAATAACAATATTATCACTTTATATGATGACTGAAAATTCTAATCTCACCTAATTATATAGTGTAAGTTTGTTTTAATTTTTCTATTATTCACTGAAATTCGTAGCCATTTTGCTACAAATTACGGATCCCTATTCTAGCCACAACCCAGTTATTCAACAAACCTTGTAACTAAGCTTTCATGTCATCGCGGTCTGTACAGAGGGCACAAATGTCAACAAAAACTGATTGATATTCAGCTCACAATATCAACAACCGGATCATTCAAACACATAATTAGTCATATAAATTGAGTATATCTATGAAAAGTCTGGTGAATAATTCATTTAAATTTTTAAACAGTATATTATCTAGATGAATCTCACAGTAAGCAAAACTCATAGAGGAAGTTCATACAACTCTATTTACGGTGACGTGTAACTGAATTACATCATATTGAATTAATTAAGTGGTAATGCGAATATTAAATGTTATAATAAAAGTCAAATTCAATTCACTGAAGTGATGTTAATCCAACTTCATTGCATAAGTTGCCTAACATCAATTTTTTTTTTAAAAGTAAACAAACAGACTTGCATTTAATGATAGACAGATAGATAAGCAGCTAGAAAGTAGAAAAAATGTAGGCATTAGGCAGAGATGACAGGTGGAAATAGGATCTTTTTATAAGAAAAGTGATGGTATTGCTAAAAGCAGTTTACAGTAAATTAAATCGAGTCTTAAAAAGCTTAAAAACATTTTAAGTCATTTGAATACTTACAATCAAAAAAGGTATGAGAAAAACATCATTGTGGACATTTTGATGTAAAGAATAATTCATGAATAAAAATCGTTATTTATGTTATCATGTCTCATTTCACTCACTGATTCGTCGAATATTCACTGAAAAACTTATTGAGTGGTTTTTTAAAAAGTTCAATATAAGCAAACTGAACTGAAACAAAGATTGATTGTAAGAAAAGATGGATAGTGGCGTCCTGGATTCCACTGCTAGCCACTATCCATCATTGCTTATAAAGCTTGTGAATTAAGGTAATATCGTGGCGATCCGCACAGAATGCACATGTTCCAACAAGAGACTGATCAACTGCAGTCCCAAACAACAATCGGAAGATACAAGCAAACAACATCATGTTTGTTATCTAGAATCTGTACATGAAAGGTGAACACTTGAAACGTTTATTATGGTAATTTTCATCATGTGGTGACCGAATAAATGTATCCTTCCAATTTTGAGCATTAAATGTATTAATTTCTATCTTACACTTTTATAGTGAAAAATGGAAATCATTCGTTGTTGAATTTCGTGTAAATAACTTGGAAATACTGATAAAATTGCTTCCTCGATTCCGATTGGCCCGCTCTCCAAAAATACTTCTACCAATATTATTTACGCAGACGGATTTTCAAAATAGGCTGTTATTCATATTACAATTTTCTTTCAATAAATCAATTTGAAGAGAG